TTATTGGAATCCTCATCTCTACATAACATTTTTGTAGAATTTTTATTGGCAAAAGATTTCCTATACGTCCTTTTAATTCCAACACTCCAAACAAACATTATAATTGTTGTACTAATAATTCCATTTCTCAGATATGAAGGCAGACAATAAAAGGACTAAGTGCTTTTCCCAGTATCACAAAGAACTACCTTGGAACTTACTGCTTCTGTTTTCAGACTATATCTAAGTTATGATGGCCAGCCAGATATGTCTTTTAAAAAATATACATAGATTACAAAACTGTAATAAAAATACCTGTATTGGAAATATTTTGACAGCCACATATTCATTGAGCAACTGGGCTTTCCAGACACAACCAAATCTTCCCCTTGCTTTCACTTCTAATAATTGCAGTGGCTTCAAACCTAGTAATGGAGAAGGTGGAGGTGGTCCTGGGTCCTAAGATAAACAATAATAATACTGTAAATAAGCAGAACATGATACATACCAATTCTGAAAACAAGAAAAAAGTGAGTATACTGAAGAATCAACTGACAGAAACAGTAAACACATATGGATGAAATTAACTTCAATCTTGTCAGAATTGAGGTCTCAAGCATTATTAATTATCTACAGTGATCACAAAGCAGACAACTTGAATTAAGAGTTTTTATAACATTCAGCACTACTGTTACAAATGTACAGGAGAAAATCATTTTGATCCAGAATCCTTAATTTTCCCCATTAACATTTTCTGTAGAATACTCCTAATAGTATTCCATTGGTTTCATCCACTGTATACTTCCTTAGAGGATGAGGATTTAAAAAGTACCAGAAAAAGAAAATTATGGCTATATCTCAAAGACTCTCCTCAAATCCACTATTTTCTCCAATGACTGTTTAAATTTTTTCTTCATTAATCTCAGAAATACCCAGAGTCATTTGTAAACACATTGCAGAGAGGTATATCAAATATAAAGTACATAAAAGAAATGTCAGTTAATATTGCCATAGCCAAACTGTTCTGTTTATTCTAATTTTTCAACATATTAACTAACAATTCATCCCTTTGCTTATAATTATTTCCTAAAATTGATCTGAGATTAAAATTATTTGTGCTCATGAACTGATTGGCAAAGAACGTACAAATAAAAATCTAGAAAAGTGGTCATGATAATAGATAACAAGGTATGGTGAATGAAAGAAAAGTACATGGCTATAGTTTAAAAAAAAATAGAGCAAATGTACTATATAAATAAGAGAGCAGCATCTACAAATCACAAGGGAATCCTCCCTATCGAAGGAGAATGGCAACCCTTCACTGACAGCATTCTATCAGTTCATTATCTGCAACTAAGGCAAGATGTAGGAAGCCTTTTGGAAAGCTTCCAGAGAAAAGCAATAGAAATGTTTCAAGGACTGCATAATGAGTATTGTGAAGAAGAACTAAAATTTCTGTGGCAAGAGCAATAGATACGATGACAGCAGGTTGCACCTCAGACACTTGGAAATGATATGTCACCTCAGATCAATGTATCTCTCTCTGCCTTTCTTCTCCCTTTATCTCCTCTTCTAACACCTCAAGGACACTGCTCTCTTTAAGCATCATTCAGACCACTAGTGCTACTCAGGAATTTAAAAAGTTTATTCCACATTAGAAAGACCCTCAACAACAGAAACACTGTGAGGCATTATATAGAAAAAACCTGCAATTTCTTCTTCTAAACTTAGACAATCTTTATAAAATGACTTGAGAATTCCTATTTTAAAATGGAAAGATAAAATAGAATACTTCCTGTGACTCATTTCAAACTCAGATATTTATTTTTAAAAGTGTCTATAAAAGTTTCTTTTCCTTCCACATTCAAAACCTGAAAGGTTAGTAAAGCTAGAGTGTTTTCATTTAGAGGAGTGACAGGTCAAGGAGGTCAGATATAAATCTTCTAGAAAGGCAGGGCTGTCAAGTGTGATTCTCAGTGGGAGGAGCCACAAGAAGCTCTAGAGAGTTTTCCATGAAAACTACACCCTCCCAGACTTATCCTTCTACTGACCACCTCTACCTGTGATAAGAAACGCTACTGATAGGAGTAGGCTGCTTATGTGGATGTGGAAACTGGAAGGGGATGGGTGGGGGGGACTTGAAAACTACTCTTTTAGAGGCAAAAAAATCATTCAGTCCTCGAGGCCCAAGAATTATTGTAAACTGCACAAAGAAATATTTAAACTAAATGGAAAAAGTTAGAAAGGCAGAGTTTTCAAAGCTGGGATGCCAAAAACTAAAGTATGCAGATAAAAGCTGAAAGTTGAAGAGGACAAACAACAAGGTACAGGTAATATGGCTCTAAATTGAAACACTAAGATTTTTATTTTTTTTTTATTTGTAGAGATGGGGTCTTGCCATATTGTCCAGGCTGTTCTCAAACTCCTGGTCTGAAGCAATCCTTCTGGCTTGGCCTCCCAAAGTGCTGGTATTATAGGAGTAAGCCACTGTGCCCAGCCAAAACACTAAGACTTTTTAATAACTTTTATATAAATTGGTGATATCTCTCTAGACAACATACACATTATCCATTCTCTGTTTTAAAGGGTGCTGACCACATGAATATGATTCAATATATAAAATACGATTTAGATTAATTTAATCCACATCTCCAATTAAGAATATGGTGGTAGTTCAAAATACAACTTTAGTATTACATTAACTTCAATTTTAGAAAACATATAATTTTCAGTGTATACATTTAGAAAAAATGTTCATAAAATGTTTTCCAAATGCATAAACTTCTAAGTTCCCATACATTTCCAAGGCCCTGTTCAGCAAATTTCTAAGCTACCATTATTACAGGAAAAAAAAATATATAGATTACTGTCTTAATATTACAATTATTTTCAATATTGTATCATAACAACCAGAAAAAGCACTGTTGTTAAAACTACTTAAAAGTTAAAAGCTTCAGTTAAAAAGAAAACTTGCCAGTTTCAAAGGGTGAGAAAAAGGTCTACAAAGACACATTTCTATAGAGTGTCAAAATGGTATGGATTAGAAATGACATGTGTTTTTAAATGCAATTTTAAATAATACTCCTTAATACTTAAATGACTGGGTTCAAAAATGAGTAACTTTGTAGCACAGGTTATAACTATATAATCTGGAACATGAATCAATAAACCTTTTTGCCTTCTTAATGAAAAATTACTAAAATTTAAGCTTTAAATACACCTCTAATATTTAGATTTTACTTATCTATAATCTAAGAATGTTAGAAACGATTTTCCATTAATCAGCATCATTACAGTAGTTTACCCACAAAAAACTCAATACCTGATCCTAGAAGTAAAAATTTATACCTTTAAAATATATGAACCCTTGGGGAGACAAATTCAGACTTAAATTTCATAAATGACAAGCTAACATTCTGATGTCATCCATAAAACATAGCTTTGCCCTACTACACAGAGAAACCAAAGGGGGATGGGGGGTATGTGGTTTGCCAACTATAAGGACTTCAGAATTCCTGAAAACTTTCCCTAAGTTTCCAGTTCTCCTACAATACCCATGCTATTTTACAAAACTAAAAAGATACACTTTAGAACATGACTTTCATTACATTTCTTCCTTGCCAATCTGTATGTGAAAATTATGGTATCAGAAGACAACATGTTGAGAAGACATGTTGAAATGACAACTGGAAAAAGTCCTCCCACCACCCAACATTACTACCCCAACATCATATAGTATCATTACTATAACCAATACTGGAATAAATTATAATAAGTGGAGAGCCGCAAAGTCATCTGTGATCATTTTACTACTTCTCAGTCCTCCACTTGAAGGGTGAATTTTAATCTAATTATAGCCTTAAACCTCCATACAGCAAAAGATCATCAAAAGTTATACTTCTGTAGCTAGTTCATTTGCTAAAGACATCAAAGATGAAACTATTTAAAAATATAGATTTCACATTAAAAGATAATGAGCTGAACCAGAAAGTCAGCCTCTATTAAAAATGAGCACATGCTAACATTTAAGCTAATGGTATACTATAAAGATTAACCAATATAAGGTTCTTAAGGCTAATGGAGCCATTAGATGTTAAGTTCTAATCAAGTAAAATAGTTGTTTCTTCATTCTACCTTACATAAGTATAAATATTGTTAACAATCTCTCAAGACGAAAGCTGTTACTATGTCAAATCAATCATGTTTTTAATCCTAAAAGTGGGGGAGAAAACGCTTTATAACATAAATGTATACACTATAAAGGATGTACAGTAAAACAATAACAAAAATCTAAGGACAAAATGTTTAGTATGCATCCACAAAAAGTTTCACGACCATAAACAAACAATGCATCTTACCTCTATCATTATATGAAAGGCGTGCTTGTGAAGAAAAAACACAGGCAAAAGAAATTACGATTCATATCCAGAATGAAATGAAAGATGACACATCAGTTACAAAAGTGAAGGAAAAGAGAATAATGGTTTAGCTTTTTTAAAGTTGGCAGTGATCCAATGTATTATATTTTTAAAGTAAGGATTGGGAACACTTTCCTTATAAACAGAGGAAAGTAATATTTAAAAAAAAAAAAAACCTTGGGTATGAGGGATAGGTAGTAAACAAATTCTTGACTCCAGGATAAGCCCACGTTAACTGATTCAATGGACTTTGTGCCAGCAAATAAACTGAACCAAGTATTAAATAATTATTATTTATTTTTCTAAGAGGTTCTAGAGTCTCAACTATAAGAGTAAAATAAGCAATTTAACTGAGGAAGGTATGAGTTGGAATTGCCTTCTGGACACCAGAGGGCAGTATTGCCTTTAACAAAAACTAGCTGGTAGCCCTGAAGAAATTTATACGTAACTAGAGTAAGTTTCTCAGACCACACTTTCTGACAGTAATCTTAAGAACCTCTAGAATTTCCTATTTCCTGGATTGCCTTATTCTCCTTTCATGGAAGACAGTATAATCATAATGATGAGGAAGAAAAGTGTTTCTGGTGGCTATGTGTGTGTGTGCAACATAAATAATACACTATGTCAAGAAAATAAGACAGAAGAACAAGAGAGCATCAGAATTAAGTAAAACACACTTTACAGACCAGGCCTCTTGTTAACCTACTTGCTCAGTCACATCAAGATGAAGAAATTAAACAGTGGTATCCCTGGGAATGAGTATCCACACATACTTCTCACATTCTGAAGACACTCAGATACTGACAGAGGACAAGATTATCATTTTTCCAGTCATCCCAAAATAGGTAAGGGCTTAAATTTAAAATTAAGAGATATAACTGTCGCCAAGGTTAAGGAAAGCTGAAAATTCTTCCAACAGATGACTATATTCCCCAGTTACCAATATTTCTATAGAAAACAATAGCACTGACAAAAAAAAAAAAATTGACAACTCACATATCTATGCCAGTTGCTTAACTAGTTTTTCTTCTTTCTAGATTT